GGAGGATCAGAAAGAAACATAATGACAACAACAACTGCAACTACAGCAACATTGTGATTGTTGGTGATTCTATTGGGGTGGCGGAAGGCCTGGCTGTGGAGGTGATGAGGAAGGTGAAGAATGGGGAGGTCCCCGAGGAGATGAAGGGGGCCAAGGCTGTGGAGTTTCCATTGGGGGAGTGTAGGAGAGTGGGGGAGCTGAAGAGGAAGGTGGAGGATTGTTGTGTAAGTGGGGGAGTTGTGGTGTATGTGGGGGATTTGAGATGGGTTGTGGAGGGGAGTAATGGGGAAGAAATTGATCGGTTGGTGGGAGATGTGGAGAGAATGGTGTGTGATTATAATCATGGAAATGGAGACAGTAATAATGATGGGAATATTACTAAGGTTTGGATAATGGCGGTTGCTAGTTATCAAGTTTATATGAGGTGCCAAATGAGGATGCCTCCTCTTGAAACTCAGTGGTCTCTCCATGCCATTCCTCTCCCCTCTGCTCCTGGACTTGGCTTATCTCTCCATCCTTCTAGGTATATTTTTAAATTTCCCCTCCACCAAACTAAATTGAAAGATTAAAATCGAACAACTATCTAAATTTCAGCGAACTCGCTGAAACTAAATTGAAATTTTTTAAATAAGAACTAAATTAGAATCGTCTAGTAATAAATGTATATTCTTTTTTTCTTTTGAAGTTTTTTTTTCAAATACTAGTTGTTTTGTTTGGAATTTTGCATGGAAGGGCTGAATTATCATCATTTGTTTCGAAGGTTACATAGGTAGAGAGAGAGAGAGAGAGAGATTAATTTGGGGGGTTGTACTTGGGTTGTGCTTGGAGCGTAGAGACATGGTCTGAATAAGGACAGAAACATAAAAGAAAAAGTATTGTTGGAAAAGTCAGATGAGTATTGTCCTTGATGTTTCCTACTTTTTCTCGTCATGATATAACCACGCATGGTCTTTGTTTTACACAATTTTACTCGGAGATATTAAACACAAAAATCAAATCATCTCTCTCCTCTCTCCTCTGCTAAGTTTTTTTCAAAAAGGGCCGGAAAATTTTCTCTGAAACAATTGAGAGAAAAAAAAATATCATTAACTATATCTGTTCTGTTCATATGCCCTGTTGTCTAATCTCCTTTACTTGATTAAGACTTAAAACAGTACTCTAATTTGTGTTGGAATTCCAAATTCTAATCTACTTTTTCCTTCTGTTCATGATTTTTTCTTTTTGGGTGCAGTGTTTATGATTCAAGGCTAAGCTTCTTCTCTCAGAATCCATCATCTCATGCCATGGAAACAAAGCCATTCATTGCTAAAGAAGAACAAGAAAAACTTACTTGCTGTGCAGAATGCACTTCAAATTTTGAAAGTGAAGTCCGGCACTTGAAACCTCTCCACTCCAGCAAGCAAGTTCCCTCTTGGCTGCAACAGTACAACACCGTCCACTCTCATTCAAAGGTACGAAAAAAAACACAGTAAAATTTAATTATTTAAAGAAAATACTTGGTTCTTCAATGGAGGAATCAATTCTTGTCATCACCAGCCGATATGAGCATAGTTGAATCGTAATTGACATGCACTTCTTCTTTCAAAGTCGGAGATTCAATTTCTCGTATCCTCAAAATTTTGTACTCAAAAAAATAATAAAACTTTTGTCCTCACCGTCAGTTGAAAAATTGATAATATTTGATGGTGCATTTCTCTGTCAAGTAACCAAATATTTTTCATTGTTTAACTTGTATTTTCACTCATTCGTGGGTTTAGAAATTAGTCCAAGATTCGAGACTGTGTATTTAATGTTTTGTTTATGTTCTTCAGGAGTTTGTGGAACTGAGGAGAAAATGGAACAGATTTTGCAGCAGCCTCCACAGAGATGGCTCTGTACAGAGCTCGATGGGGAAGAGTTTTTCCTACTCTTCATCATACCCATGGTGGCCGAAATTCAATGAATCGAATTCAATTTCCTTTACAGATTATCAAACTCCTAAATCGTTACAGAGTTCAAATCTTGTTCCTCGATTCAGACGGCAGCAATCGTGCACAACAATTGAGTTTGATTTTGGAAACGCGACTACAAAGCATGATCAGGATCGAGAACCGAGCTTGAATTCTCTCAAACACATGGTGGGCAAGGAAGTGAAAATCACTCTTGCACTGGGGAACAATCCCCTGTTCTGCGATTCGTCGGCGGAATCCACGGAATTGGAAAGCGAAAGGAATTCGCGACGAGGAGAGATTTTGAAGGTTCTGAGAGAGAATGTGCCATGGCAATCGGAATCGATTCGTCGTATAGCGGACGCATTGGTTGCAGAGAAATCGATTCATTGGATTCTGATGGAGGGAAGTGATTTCGTTGGAAAGAGAAAGCTGGCTCTCGCAATTGCAGAATCGGTCCTCGGCTCTGCGGATCTACTCTTCCATTTGAACGCTAAAACCGAAGATATGGAAATCTCTCGCTCTGAAATTCTGGAGAGAGCATTGAAATCGAACAGAGAGCTCGTGGTTCTGGTGGAAGACGTGGATATGGCGGACTCGCAGTTCATGAAATTCCTCGCGAACGGACACGAGAGCGGAAAATGGGGAGAAGTCGAGAAAATCATATTCATCCTCACAAAGAACGATTCCTCGGAGAAAAAGAAGAAGAACAGAGCTTCCGTGATCGAGATGACGCTGAAAATCGAGGCAATGGCAAGAAGGAATCCAGACCAGAAGCGGAAGGCAGATTGGGAGGAAGTGGCAAACAAATCAAAAACTCAAAAAACAATGGAAACGGCAGATTTGGAGAACAAAATCTGTAGACAATCAAGCATGAACACGCTGGATCTGAACGTGAAAGCGGAGGAAGAAGAAGAGGAAAGCGAGAAGAAATTACCATCAGGAGGCCAAATCAGTCCAATATCAAGCGAAGTAACGCGCGAAACAGCGATCTGCAACGACCTGCAAACTCCAAGAAACAGATTAATTGGGGAGTGGATCGAGAATCGGTTCGTCCTGGATCGGAAAACAGAGCAGGAACGCGAGATGAGAGAGGAAATAAGGCGGAAAATCAGAGAAGCAGAGGAGGAGAATTGTAAAAACGGGGATAGGGATAGGGATTGTAGATTTAGGGTGGAGGAGGGGGTTTTAGAGGGAATTATAGAGGGATTTGGTACATTTTCGAAGAGTTTGTTTGAGAAATGGGTGAAAGAAATTTTTCAAACGAGCTTGGAAATGGAAATGGAAATGGAAAGGAGTAGATATGGCGGGAAAGGGAAGGGTATAGATATAAGGCT